GTGCATGTGAGAGTTCAGGGTGGTTATTGCTTTTGGGAAGAAGCTGTTTTTGAATCTGTTTTTGTCCTAATGCACCTGTAGCGCCTACCTGAGGGCAACAGGTCAAACAGTCAAAGCCAGAGTGGGAGCTGTCTTTTGGTGATGGCTTTAGCTCTGCTGAGGCAGCGGGAGGTGTAAATGTCCATCAGGGAGGGGAGAGGGCAGCCAGTGATCTTCTGTGCCCTGCCTTTACGACTCTCTGAAGCCCTCTCCCTGTCTGCAACGGTGCAGCTGCCCGTACCATACTGTGATACAGTATGTCAGCAGGCTCTCGATGGATGAGCGGTAGAAGGTCAGCAGCAGGTTGGAGTGTGCGTCATTCTGCACTTAATCTAGGCTTGGAACTGTGTATATAACATGCTTTACAATATGAACAGAACACAGAAGGGTCCTAATACTAGAGGCCTTTTGCTGCAGGCTCAAATTTGCTTGTCTGAAGCCTGAGGCTAACAAACTTATTAAACCACTTAGATGTAATGCTGCTTCTCACCAGTGATCAGATCAAGCCAATGCAATGTCCATGTCTTCATAACAGCACATAGATCGCCCTCATGTGGATATAACACATTACTGCGACAGGAGACAATTCAATTTACAAGTCGTGTACCCCCCCCCCTCCCCACGATCATTAGTCCATATATTTAACTCTAATTATGCTAATTAGAATTGTAAATGAAGACCAAAATATCTTGCTGCACATAGGGAATTACAGGTCGGGCTGAATGAGATCAGACAGTTTTGCTAGACCAACAGAAAGCTTCAACAACGAGTTATATGATCTTAAAAACTCAATATAAATTCCACATAAAACCCTCATTAACCTTTTAACTCTTGTTGGAACATTAACCCAGCAAAATACACCATTAACTAGACAATGTCACCTTGAAGCTGCTACATACATTATACACACTGTTCACATTTGTTTACAGCAGTACAGAAGACTGGGAAGGTTGGAGAACTTGAACACACCCAGAAGTGACGCCTTAAGTGTCAAGGTCATGGTCCTGTCCTGAAGGCTGGGATTCTGGCTCAACTGGGCATTTTTATATAAAAACGTGTCTTGCCTTATGATTGACAGGTTAGGTTGCTAAGGTTGGTTCTGAACTGCACACTGCATAAAAGATAAATAGGCTACTTCCTCTCTCCTGTCCTGACCTCTTCATCTGCAAGTAAAGGCCACTTTGGGCATTTGAGTTGGAGTCTCTCAGAAATTGGTGTAATTATGCACAATAGCAATCACCCAGCATGCATGTATTTATGATCCCATGTTGCATCTGTTAAGGATTAAGCCAGGGCTTGGGCTGCTATTGACGACAGAGATGTCACGTCCTCTGTGAACTGTTCTGGATATTTTTAGGGGGCTGATGTGCAGTTTACCTTTTATAATTTAAAGTTACACATAGTGACTTTTGAAAAGACAGAAAACAACATCTTTTGTAGACTTGGTGTCTTAAATTTGACAATTTTTAGGAAGAGGAAAATTAAGAAAAACATGAGTAAATGTAACAATTATAGAAAAACAGCGTTTACACCAGCATGTAGAAAAACAGGGGAAAATATCACAAATAAAAAAAACATTTTCAGGTTTTTCAAAATCATGTGGGGGTGGAGGAGCTGCTTAAGACACAGTGTTTTTATATATATCGCTACATACATATGCATATGTGTATTGGAGAAAGGAAATTTGATAAAGGAGTGAAAAGTCCTAATAATCTGTACTGAAAATAGTGGAATTATTTGATCGGCAGATTCCTGTTTTAATGAGATGGAGTGGTTTTAAAACTCATAACAAAATGATGCTCTATGTCATGCGGTGCTTCTCTACTCCAACTGCATGACTGTATCTAATTATTTCTTGCTTCAGGCAAAGCCACTGAATAAAACAGCATAACACAGATATGCATGCTTCTCTCCTGCAAATTTCCCATCAGTCCAGCTCATTGTTTGTATGAACTGTAAACTGATTCATAACTTTCATTTACTGTAACTACTGTAGACCTACAGTATGCACAGTGGCTACAGCAAATCTGCCTGTCAGGATATTTTTATCTTATGGAAATAGAGATTTTAATGCTCAGCACTTGACTGAATTACTTAGGATCGGCATTTTTGCAGTGCAGGCTGGTGTCTTGAAAATAATCTCATGGGAATGGATGGAGGAGAAGAAGAAGATATTTTTTGGATCCATCATCAGTTGGCTGTTCTCTCTGTACCAGCAGGTTACACTGACAGCAAAAAGACACAATCCTGTGGATTTATTAATATAGATAGATGTGACAGTCACACACAGAGCAGTCATTTGGCCGCTACTACCCTCCTGGGAAAGAGGATCATTAGTGCCTTTCATGTCAAGTGTACTCTTATGAAAGTCATCTTATTCTCAATGGTAAAAAAGTACATTACAGTTTTGCAATCACATAGATGGGCCCCATTGTAAGTTTTAAAAGATGGTAGGAAGGGCCATGCAGTGGAGAAGTTCCCATTGCCTGTGGCCTGCTGGCATACTCCTCATAAATGTTTGAAGGAAAGGGAATTTGAGCCTGCTTGTGAAAACCAGCAGATCAGTTTTCTTGCTTAATGAAAGAGCAGAAAGGGAGATGTCATTGCATCTGATCTGCCCCCTGCTTCTCCCACAAGAGCTGAATCCATTGAAGTTTACATGATAAAAATCTAGCATTTAAAATATGTAGATTTGTTTTTAGATGCAAAATATGTAGAAGATATAGGAGCATTATTCTCCACAAAAGGAGAAGCATTATATTCTAGAAAACATCCCAGTTAAATGCACAAAAAGCATTTGGACATTTCTCCATCAAAACCCTCTTCATGCCAGCCTTTAGGTAAGGCAATCGTTCATCTGGAGAAGGATAAACCAGCCTGCGATGGCGAGGTTTCAATAAAGCTTGCAATATGAACAGATGGCTTTGATTAATGCGGAGGCTCCAGACAGAATTTCCCCAGATACCTTCTATTTCCTAAATGAGACATTTGTGTGCAAATGTATTGTTTGTCAAGTTGTCACCAGTAACTCCAGTAATTAAAGTGAAAGTTTTGTGCATTTATAAAACAATGGCACAGGTTTACACCCCGTTGGCGTTTCTCTGACTCGGGTTGAAAATGTCTTTGTCCTAATATCTTCAGCTTTCTGTACGATGTTGTAGCTAATCCACCTCTCCTCTACTGTTGTCACTCTAATCCTTACTCTGTGATTTAGTGCTGCCCTGTCATCCCATGATATACTGTATGAATGCACTCTTCATCCTGGCACCTTGACTAAACTTGAGTGATCCTGAATATGTATTCATGTTTGACAAAGACAGAGAGAAACAGTGGGGGATAACGAACATAACCACGGCAATAAAACATCTCCAAGGCAAAATTCAGCTCACTGGTTTGGAAATAGATGCAAAAATATGCAAAAAATGCCAAAAAATTCTCGCATCCATCCTTAAAAAATTTAACTGCAGGCACAGACGTCCTTGTTTAACAGTTCAGGAAACTCAGATTTTCTCAAATACTTCTCTCTGGTCTGCATCTGTGGGCTTTGAAAGTCAAACAATGTGATATCCACTGGCTTATCCTACTCAGTATTATTCCAGGGAGAGACATCACAAAGAATCAGACAACAAGAAAGACTTCTGTGTTGTTGTCATCCCTCATTATATAGACAGAGGTACACCGGGAAGTAAGTGAGCAGAATAATAGAGGTTCTGAACTATAAAAAGTTTTGTATACAAAACTCTAACAAATGAACATTTAATAAGATCACTTACAGTACATTCAGTTATACAGTTACACAATGCCAAACACAGGTGTGTGTGTTTGTGTTGTGGCTCTCAGGACTACTGACATAAATGAAATAAATTGACTGTGAAGAAATCATAAATATCACAGTATAAATAAATTCATATAAAACAGGTATGAGAAGGTTTCTAAATAAAGATTGCACATTAAACTGTAACAATACTTATTGGAAGTCCTAAAAAAAACAAACTGATGAAGTTAAAGATTATGAAAACAGTAATAAATCAATAAATAAATCTCGCACAGCTGATATTTAAAGTAACTGGTATTAACAGCTGCTTGTAACAGATGTAACAAAATTAGATTTTTTTCCTATTCTACCTGTTTAACATAAGGTGGTTATCATTGCTAATTATCAACATGTCACGCACAATACATTGATTATTCAAGCAATCATGACACCCATTTAATGATGAGAATATGAAAGTAAAGAATAAAAGACTTTTAAAGCAAATGTCCTAAAACCTTATTGCCATACAAAAGATTGGCAGAAGCACTTGGCATGTTTTTTGGGTCTTAGGAGTTTATCACAGTAGTTAACTCTGAATGCACAGAAGTCTAGAAACAGCAGTAAATACATGTAACCTGGTTTCTTGAGAGATATTTCTAATGTATTCATATGTACGGTGGATGGTAATTTATTCATGAGTGTGTTTACGTGGGCAATGACGCATATCAATGCATAACTATATTTAAAATACCTTGAACAGGATAACTAAGACATCAATTGGGACACTGCGGTATTGGCTTATTTAATATCAGCTTGTGGTGCTTTGGTTTTCGACGAGCATCACTTCCATGGTCATTTAAAAATATTCTGTTTATATGAATATAGAGACATTCGTGATTAGGATTCATTTAACTTAAATACATTAGTTAAAAAAACAACACCTTTATAGGAATATGAGTTTATATTGGGAATACTGTGTGCATGTAAACCCAGGCTGTGTGTGCAGTTAGAGGTAGCTTCCCCAAACTAAATACAGATAAATTTACACTTCTACCCTTTTTAGGATTTTAAACTAAACAAATATTACTTTTCTTTTACATTTGCCTTCTCAGATCCTACAGATCCTGCAGTCCTACAGGAGGCAGCTACGTTATTTTATGGGCTACTTTGCAAAGACTGAAAGAGATAACACAAGATGTGCTGTGTCTCAGGAGAGTACAGTTAGAACTACAGTTCCCTTGGTCTTTTTCAGGATGTCCACAGCTTCAGCGTGAGTCATGCCCTCCAGACAGTGTCCATTCACAGCAATGATCTGATCTCCACGTTTCAGCCTGCCGTCCTCTATGGCCGCCCCCTGCAGAACACAAATGTGCAGATCAGAGATTATAAGGTGTTTCCACTGTTAACACAACACTGACAGATGCAGACAAAACCCAACAAAAACACGACTGTAATCACTGAAAGAAATGTCTTTCTAAATTTAATCCTGTTTAAGATATTAAACATCTAAACAAGATGTAAAATGTAATAACATAGCACTATTACAATACATTATAAAGGGTGCAACACATTTAACCAATGATGTACTCAGAATTATAGTATATATAGAAAGTTATAGCATATTTAAATCATTACTCATTCACCAGCTGTTAATGCCTTAAGCCTTTTGAGGTTTATAATCATGGCATCCTACCTTTGTGCCCATGTCTCTTATATGAACGAACACACAGACATTGCTAGTATAACTGAACTCCATGCTGTGCTGAGATTACATTTCTGAATCCCAGGTTCCCCAGGAAAGATTTCTCCCTGGAGGTGGTTCTCTCACCTTGTTGAAGACGGTTTTGATGTAGATCGGCAGGTCTCCATGCGGGCTGCCGAACCCTCCGACGATGCTGAAGCCCAGGCCTGATGAGCCTCTCTCCAGAGTGATGGTCTTATACATGCGAGCACTGCAGAAATAGAATGGAAAACAATCTGTTGCTGGGCCTGCAAGTGTACAAGATTTTGAGAGCAAGTGTTGCAACTGAAATATACAGTGTGTGTGTGTCTGTGTGTGTCTGTGAAAGGAGTATCTTATCTCACCAGGACAGACAATAGGTGAGAAAAGGGTGAATAGGTGAATTTCTACTGTGCTGTATTTTGTGTGTGGTGGTGTGAATGTTGTGAATCCCAGAATTCTCTTTTGTTTTCAGAATTAAAATACAACATTTAACCTTAGGGTTGGGTTGCATGCTTTGCACAAAGGGTTGCAGCAGATTTAGGACATATTTACCAATGTTTCTTGAATAAACAGTGTTATTGTCATGAAGAAATTAAATACAAAAATTGTTCTGTGGCATTTTTAGATGAAAACAACCTAAAAATCAATTGAAAACAAAACAAAATACAAGAAACACTGCAGCTTCTTGTGGTCAAAAGAAAATTCATCCCAATGCTTCTCACAAAGAGGCTGCAGGTTCTCATTATTGTCAAGTAGGACCAGTGTCTGGCTTTGTCCTTATTCACTAAATAACCAAGAAAGGAACCAAAGTAAGATTGTGCAACAGCAGGCGAATGTCAGGAAACCGATCCTCACCGGAGGTTGTTGTGAAAGCGGGGCAGGCTCTCGGACTGGCCTGATGACTGGGCATGCACATCATTGTTTTCCTTTGTGCTGCACACTCCAGAACCCGCTGTCACCTACATATACACACATACAAAGTTTCACAAAGTTTTTTTAATAAGTAAAAATGGAGATAGACAAACATATTTCTAAAGCTCTTAACTGAGTCAGCTATGAACTAGCTGGACAATAATCTGAAATCCTACTGCTGTAATAAAACTGCCATGATTGTCTTCATGTTAATACAGAGGGAGTAATACAAATATAAATCTGTTTGAAGTTTTTCTTTTTTCTTACACACAGTGTACTTGTCAAGAACAATTGACATTCAGTTCCTTACAAATACCTCTTTTTCTCTCTTACAACAAAAATCGTTCTGAAGGCTTATTAACATGAAGACAAACAGTGTGAAATCAGTGCCAGACACACTTTTGTCTCAAAATTACAGTATTGCATTCAAATGCAAAACACTGATAATGAATAGATGACTGAAACTATAAACTATCTCATTTTTATTCCTTGTCAAACACTTTGAGTTTGAGTTGTTTTTTTTATGTTAAATTATATCTTGCTGAGTAATAATGACCTAGAGGAAGCAAGTGACAACAACACTCAACTTAAAGTTGCTGATGTTATTGCAACTGTGTGCCTCACAGGCATTATAGATGAACTGCTGTATGTCTCACTGTGACATTACCTGCAGACTGATGGTTCCGGTGGCGTTCTTCAACAGGACTCCAGCTTGGACATGAGTCATTCCCTCCAGGGACACATCATTGATACTGAGGATCCTGTCTCCTGTCTGATTGAGACATACAAACAAACTTGTAACTTTTATTGACTTACAGAACATTTACTTCCTGGAGACATAGCACTACACAACTAACCCCAACCCTTACCTTACTTTAACTTTTTAATATGTCTATGATATTGTTTGAGACACAATATTTCTATGTAAACTTAGATCAAGTAGGCTTACCCGTTCTATTGCAACCCTTATGTTGCCAGTGCCTAATTAATATGCATCTTGTAATATGCTAATTAATATGCATCTGTGTGTGCTTCAATTTTATTTTACCGTAAAAAAATATCTTAACCCTAAGATCAAGTCATTACACTTAAATAAATGCTTAACAATGTGAGCACTGACTTTTTGACCCCATACAGGAGTCGAGTCCTTATGATGCAATGACAATAACAGGTCTTTCCCAACACACACACAACACACACACAACACACACACAATACACACACACACACACACACACACACAGGCAAGTATAACGACACTCCCCACCTGTAATTGCTGTGTTTTGGCAGCCAGTCCATTGGTATCCATGGTAGCAATAAAAAGAGGTACGTTGCCATGGGGACTGCCCACTCCTCCTGCTACACTGATGCCCAGGGAGTCACATGGACCCTGTGGTGACAACACACACACACACACACACATTATAGACATGTTAGACATTGCCTGTGAATCACATGGCAGATTCAGCACATGACACAAACACCTAATGTTGTGTAAGCCTGGGGTCCAGCCAGGTAAGGAGGTAATGGATACACAGTATGTCTAATTAGGAGTTGGTTATTCGAGGTAAAAGAACAAAAGCTCTTTCAAAATATCGATAGTCAGTTTCTCCAAGGCTGTATTGTGCACTAATAATAACAATTATTGAGTATTATTTCGAGATTTTCTGCCTTACCTTTTGTATTAATACTTTTCTGATGTCAGGGTAGTCTTGAAATGCTGTGGGAGGGGAGGGATATTATGCATTATAATCAGACTGAAAATGTCATAACAGAATTATTTCCACTAAATAATTAACCATCATAAGAGCAAATGCTTTCAGAACATGAGGGCCACTCACAGTAGCTCCCTGTTTTGTCATCTGTCTCCCTCTGGTGGCTGAGTGAAGCATCACATCCACTTGAGGGGGTCAGTGTGGAACAGTTGGAGTCTTCGCTCTGGATAAAACAAAACTTAAAGTACTCCTAAATTCACAAATTACTATTGTTAAAATAGTTTAAAAGAGTAATAGATGAACTATTATAGACAATATTAAAGGGATTGAGCTGGTTAAAGAAAGTCTGGACTCTCAATACAATAGAAATCATAGCTAAATCAAAAAAGGTAAATTCATAACCTGATAACAAACACCTGATAATACATTTTTACATTTTCTTTGATAGACTATCATTAGACAGACATTTGTTGTTAGACACAAACAGCCATGGGCACCAGTTTACCTGGTTCCGCTGTGAGTACTGCAGCCCTGCTTTAAAACGAGCCACCTCCAGTTGGACCGCTCCAGTGCAACTCTAAGAGCGAAGTGACACATATCACATAAGATGATGAATCCATAAGAAAATGTATAACCCACTACTAATTCGTTTATAGATTTTGTATGTGTAAGTGTAAATGTGTCCTGTGTGTCCATGTGTGTGACCTGTAGAAGCTTCTGTGCATATTCCTGTGATGCTGCACGAACATCCTCCCCACTGATTGACAGAATCTGGTCACCTAGCAACAACCTGCCATCTGAATCTGCTACGCCTCCTCTGATGATGTCTGACACAAAGATGCCCGTGTCATTACTGTTGGAAGAAAACAGAGGTCAGAAACGTGTCTATTCCACGCTTATAGAGAGAATTACAGTATGCAACCTTTAAGCCTGCTGTTTTGCATAATGTCACACTGGATTGAGTAAATACATGAAGCTGCATGTCAATCTGCACCTAAACTCTTCAGAAATAATGTGTCCTGTGTGTTCCCTGCAGTGTCACCCTGTGGCCTGGCTCTCTAACCTTTATGGTGATTATTGGATTGGATGCTGTAACAGTGTGTGATTTCATTATGTGTTTATCACACATTATTTTTACAGTAATGATCCCTGTTGCTACAGGGTCCCTGACCCCTAACTCTCACAGTTTACCTTTACAGTATAGTTGTTATACAAAGGCATGTCATTATTACACACCTTTACAAAATTTGAAAGTACTCTAAATAAAAGGATACAAGTATTTTTTTTCTCTCTGAAATGGATCAATTAACAAAAGAGCAAAACAAAAGTTTCTTTTTAAATACCATGAAACACATTATATTTTAAAAAAATCACTTCTGGCATGTATGAAAGTGAATGATATCTGATACTAAATTAAATATAAATATGAAAGATTCTGAAAGAATTTCTGACTTTTTAGCCATATTAAACTGAGCTTCAAAGCATTTTTCATATTTTGAATGATTAGCAGGCAAATAAAAGCAGCTATACTCGCACATCCAGCCTGAAATGTTTGGTTTAGGTCCACAGTAGTGGCATGATTCAATAAATGCATGGCCAACTTATGGCCTATCTATTTCTCATCTTCACAAGGTGCAAGAGGTGAAATGGTAGAAGGTAAATGGACTGCATTTAAATCGGTCTTTTCTATCTTAACGGACAAAGCGCTTTACAATTGTCCTCAGTTGTGAATTCACTGATCCACACCCACACACTGACAAAACAATGGCGACAGAGCTACCATGCAAGGCACTTGTCGGTCCAACGGTCGGTAACCTACTGTATGGTAAAATGCGGTTATATGTACCTGAAGGAAACAAAAAAACATTTATCCTCATCTTTTAGTCAACATTATCAACATACCTCTTCCCCACAGTGGTGAACCCAATCCCCTCTCCAGGACGAGGCCTCAGCTCCAGGCTGAAGACGTCCCACAGGTCCTCCTCCCTGTAGGCCTCCTGGTGCCTGAAGACACACAGGCGAACCCGCTGGGTGGTGAGACGCAGCACGCCAATAGCCTCATCGTGAGTGGCCTGCCGCAGGTCTATACCATTTACCTAGGAGGAAGTGAGAGAGAGGGACACAGGCCATAGTTGTATAATGGGGGTTAGAAGACATTTGAGTAACTGTATTTATATCACAAACGACAAATGGATTTCACTACAACTAATGACAAAGAGTGCTTTATCTTGATAAATAGCTACATTAAGGGCCGTAGCATCAATCTACAAGCAATCTACATGTCATTGCTTTCAACAATCAATGCTTCCTGTTCTGTATGATTTATGCAATGTGTTGTGCATACTGATTTTGCTGCTTTTGTTGTCATTTCAGCATCTTATTGTCTTATGTTTGTATTTCTGAACCTGTCACTTCATTGGTTTTAGAACATCTTGCTTAAGGACTACAGTTTAAAATAAGCCTGGCCAGAACTGGCACATTTACAGAAATGTTGACTAATGTTAATGCACTTATAATAAATGGCAGTTTAACATGGTGGCCTCTGTGGAAGACCAACCATTCCCTATGTAGATAAAAACAGCATTCAAAGGTAACGCAAACACAATGAATCTTATTTTCAGGTGATAAAAGACTAATTAAAACACATCCTTGAATATTACATTATATTTCTACCAATAGATCCTCCTAAAACTTTAAACATATATAGCAACAAGAAACGATTTGCTATGTGAGGATATAGTGGAGTAATGGTGTCCTGAGCAGAGAACGTCATGACCCATTGCCTGTGTTGCTATCCCATTCTATTTTATTTTCTGTTATTTGTTTGCAAAGCATGTTAGTGCATGTGAGTCCCCCCATGTGCAACTAAGGAGATTGACTAAACTGCTGTTTTTTTCATCTATTTCAGTGAATGAAGGATTTACAAAGGGTGAATCATGCAAAGCTACTCTAGTGGAGTCTCTGTATAAGAATACAGAGCTGGAAATGAGCATAATAGGTCAGTGTAAAAAAAAAAAGGACATAATTTGACAGGTGCGTTTGTACACAATCATACATGACATCAGTAGTGGCTATTTTCTCATCTATTTTTGGCCAATTAGTTTATTTCGACCAAACCGACATTTATGATTGTTGGAAACGCTAACAAAGACTGTTTTAGTGACTTTTATTTTATTCTGTCTGGTTTGAAGTGTGTTTTATGATTATCTGCTGGGTAAAATTACTGGTTTTGTCAATGCAGTCTGTTCTGAGATGCTGGTGCTCTAGTGCAACATCTAGTGGTAAGATAATTCCATACATATTACCTTTAAACAACATTATAATAATATAAAGTCATATATGTATAACATAAAAAAAATTACATACATGGCATTTGTTGGACAGGGATGAAATAAAAACACAAGCCTTTAATTTTGATCAGTAAAATTAATATTCATTAGCCCACAAAAATAGTTCTTAGTTGTTGAGTTGGGAAAAAATGAAACAATATGGGGCAATACCATTAGAGTTTTATTAAGTTTTATGACCTAACTATAATCAATTGCCATCAAATCAAAATATATTTGGATAAAAACTTTGACTGATGTCAAATGTGTATATTATGGTATCTTTGTGTGTACCCATAATACCTCTAATATCTGGTCTCCAGACTGCAGCCTTCCGTCTCTCTGTGCTGCTCCTCCATCGTTTACTTCATGGATTATTACTGCCCCCTGGTGTAAAAATCAGAAAACACTTTTATTATTACTGAGAATCCAATGCAGCTAAATGTAATCAAAAGTGCACTGCTTAGTATTTCCAACAACATTTACTTATTTTATAAAACATAGAAAGCCTAAAAAGCTATTTCCACAATACAGCCTAACTTCTTTCACTCACAATGTCTGTGCATATGCATTATACAAGCCCATGTTGCCTAATTTCATGCTATAAATCATGAATATTTAGAATGATTAAAAATTTATTTTATTCTGCCAAACAGTGTTTAAATGAAAATGTTGATGTAAAATATCAACCGGCTGCTCTCACCAGCAGAGTGTCAAATCCTCCTACGATACTGAGGCCAAGGCCTACATTTCCTTTACAGATCTCTATGGTGGTTTCCCTGCCAGCCACGACTGGGCAGCTCAGGGGGTCAGACGTTGCGGGAGCTGATCCTAGCCAATCAGACCGCCCTGTAGGAGAGGTCTGCATTGTATTAAGAGGTGAAGAAGAGGAGGAGACAGGGAGGGTTAGGGCAGAAGCAGGAGACAGAGAGTAAGGATAGGAAAGAGATGTTGGGGGAGGTAGAGAAGATGAGGAGGAGAGACTCTTGGAGCGGCTGATGGAGAGCTTGACAGTGACCCGGTGTTTGAGAATCAAGCTGGAAACCTGAATACAGAGAAGACAGGTGAGTCATAAATCATTAAATCAGCTTGACCTTGAAGTGTGTATTGTGTGTGTGTTTGTGTGTTTGTACCTTGTCCACTGACAGTCCTGCCACAGCTTCATTACCCACTGCTACAATTCTATCTCCAACCTTTATCCTGCCATCCTTAACACACACAGAAACATGAATAAAAAATGGAAGATGAGCAAAATGCATAAAAGCGTATGTAACAGAAGGTTGGGGAGGAAGTGATATAAAAAATCAAACACACCCTCTGGACAAATATCTGAATGCCTGTTGCCTGGGGCCCTACATGAAAGCTTATTAGTACATGCCGACATCACTTTAAAACATGGGAACCATCATCTCAAAGTTAATCTGCTTTAAATATTACCGAGAGCCTAGAGCCATCACATCACAGTTTACAGCGTCATATATTGGACAGTAATGTGGTGCTCATGTGTGCCTCGTTATTCTGATAGATTATTGATTACCAAAGTTACAATCAAGCTATTGAGGCTTGATAGAAAATCTGATGAAATTACATGCAACCTGTGTGCTGAAATCATTCTAAAGTAATGACTAGGATGAGGTGTACTGTGATGAAGGCTCAAGTCACTGTGTCATCTCAGTCAGAAGAAATGCAAAATACAAAAACAATACCCAGAGTATAAAGAGAATAATGGTTGAGAAACAAAATAAGGGCAAGGTTATTTTCAGAAATTTATTTTGGACTGGATTTATTTTGTGTGTAAAATAAACTGAGGTTGTGATAAAATGTAGTGGTGGAATGTAAAGTACATTTACATTTACTTGTATTTGAGTATTCACATTTTGTGTTACTTTATACCTCTACTTGATTACATTTCAGAGGCAAATTTGTACTTTGACAAAATTTTTTGACAGATGTAGTTACTTTCAAGATCAAGATTTTATATATAAAACATTTGACCAGCTTAAAAAATAAGATGCATTGTTATAGGTATATCCAACAATGGATAAAGTAGTTTGGCTCCAATCAATAACTTACAGTTGCTTACACCTCAATGTACCAGTAATAATAATCTAATAATGTAATATAACACTCTGACAAGGGTGCTTCTACTAAAATCAAACTATGACAGCTATTATTAATAATAATTAATATGACAGGTAAGAGAGTAGAATATATACATGCACATATATATGTTATTGAGGAAGATGATGGTAATTATGATGATACTACTGATGATGTCACACCTTACTGGCAGTGCCGTGCTGAATCAGGGACCTGACCACCACTCCTTCCTTTGACTCCTCCTCTGCCAGGCAGAGGCCAAGACCGACGTGATCCTGGAGGGGGATTGAAAAAAATAAAAGGAAAACTTTGAACCAAGAGTTACCAACGCTAATAAACAGTGTTGTATATAAGATCTGTATTTGCTATCATTTTCTCTAGTATCAAGACTGTTTTTGCTACAGTAAGTAGTTTGATACCACTCAACTGGTTGCTTGAACTGAGACATGTGCAGCCGGAGGCCTGACAATGGTTAATGCCAAGATTTACTGATGATACTGCACCTGAGGTAGGATGATGTGCTGGGTGTCTGTGGATAATCCTCCAGGCTCTGCAGAGCTTGTCTGGGAGTCGACTGTGTCCTCACACTCTGTTCTGGATCCCTGGGTCATTTGAGCCATAGCTGCTTTATTCCTAGTACAACAAAAGCAAATCCTGATAAGTTAAAATTTGGGAGAAATGTAAAGGCCACGAAAAAATCCCTCGACATGTCCTACCTGATGAGAATTATCTTGACTTTAGATGGAGCGTTATTGATGATGGTGGACGCATTTTGGTGACTCCGTCCGTACAAGATCTGACCGTTGATCTAGAAGAAAAATCATGTCATGTGCTATCGCCTCATTGATGTTTTACTTCATCCCATCCATCTCAACATTAGTCTGCCATCTTCTTCTCACTTCCCTCCCCCTCTGAGTTGCTCCTCTACCTTAATTTTCCTCATCTTCTCTATTACACGGTTGCTCATTGCAAGAATCCAGCCCAGCAGCAGCCAGCCTTCAAATGGTAATGTGTCGAATAAATCTACTGTGCAGGTTATCAACACTTTCCACTCATCCACCCCTCCTACCCACAACCCACTGCTCTCCGGTTGCTGCTCCCAATTTTGACTATGATATGTTGTCTTTCTTTAGAACACCAACCCGTCTTTGCCCCTGAAAACCCTCCCATCTGTTAATCTCAACCATCCTGTCCCTTACTGTCCCAATTCACTTTCCTCCTTACCTCCAGTAGCTCATCTCCAATCCATATCCTCCCATCTAAACCAGCAGGTCCCTGAGGATCTATATCCGCCACATAGACACTCATGCGGGCCCTGGACCCATCCTTGTTCCCTGTGAGGCTGATTCCCAGGCCATGAGCCGCAGGGTCCTTCTCCAGCTCAATCATATGGAGCTTCCCAGACAGGCTGCCATAACGCTGAAGCATCTTTTCTAGGAGAGAGGCAGAGTTAACAAACGGGAGCCTGTTAGGAGGAGGATATGACGGGTAAGCCAAAAAAAAGTGTGAGATGCTACATGTAATGACTGACACTTCATGTGGAGAGGAAGCATTACACCCTAGAGGAGCTTGTGTGAATGTGTGTTGCTGCAATTTGTCTGGAAGGGATGATGTCAGTCATGTTGAGGGAAATGTGAAGGATGTCTGTGTTTCTGTATAATGCACATAATACAGTATGACTATATGGGGCTTGTGTGTGCATGCTTGTGCCAAGAGAAGAGGTATGTGTGTGTAAGTGCATGGCATGTACTGTATCACTAAAAAACATGACACTAATTATATATATGTAGGTGATTGTGGGTTTCTGTGTGCTTATTAATATTTCTCTGTGTGCATGTCTTTATTCGTGTGTATTGACTTGTGTGTATGCACACAAATATTTGCAGGATTCAGATTTAAATATATGTATATAAGCATGGTCAAGCATAGACTTTCTTACGAGTACAAGTACACAAGCATGTTACACATTCCTGCTAACAGTTTCATGCTATTTGACTGATCTACAGGAGGCGGTACCATGCCAACAAACATAACAGTACAGTAACAGTGACGAAAGAGCCTGCTGAGCCTGCTAGCTAGCAGACATGTTGATGTTAAAAACACAGGTTTCAGATTTTTATTTTTATTTTTTTAACAAAAATTGGCTTTGGATATGTTTCATGAGGAAAACACATTATACACATTTGTTAAACCTCAAGGACTCACACAATGGATTTTGACTGTATACAGAATGTTGTTTGTTTAAAAGAAAACTCCACAGGGCACTTTTAATACTATATGTGCATTGAGCAAACCAAAGAATGGATACAACTAAATAACTTTTTTTGTTGTGCCAAAGGAGAAATTAAAAGTTACATACTGTACAGAAAAAACATGCATAATGTATTCACATTGTAGTTCGGGCCTGGCCAACTGGCTTCACATGAGAATGGCATGAAAATAATCATAGCATATAATGGACCTTTCAGTAATTTAAAATTGTGATAAGTAATTTCTGAATGTGTGACACTCATGATATTTTTATTTTAGAATTTTCTTCTTTAGCTTTTTATTTTATAATGGATGTGTATAGCACAAAGTCTTAATGGAACAGAGGGAATCATGTGATCTGCACTGTGTGACGGTGGCCACTAGACTAATATTGCCACACCGCTCCTGTTCCTGGGGGCTTTGGAGGATCCCTGTGTATGTATGTGTGACGTCTTTATGATGCAGACTTACTCCAGCCAGTGTCATCCTCGTCTCCAGCTGCCATCGTGATTGGTGAGGTGGCAGTTATGGGGCTTCTCCAATCCATTCTATCTGATGTCGACGAAGGTACCTTGGGAGAAGTTTTTGCATTATTGAACAGGCAAAGTTGGAGATGCCTCAGGGGTCCTTCAGGCATGAGTTGGACTATCCCTGGGGCTTGTTCAGTGTGCTTGATGTAGCAGTGAGGAAAAACTGACGAACAGGATGAATTAATAAACACGGTTTTAATGTCAGCTAAAAATAACATGAAAGATGACCAGAATCATGCATTATTTTGCAACCACCTTACAAGTGCAAGGAAAAATAACTTCAAAAGAATGCACTGTCTATTTAGAGAGTTATGCATCTCCACCAAAGAGAAAAACAAAGGGTTTAAATAAACAAGGTAGCTGCATGGGACTTTGAACTACAAGTGTTCTATCTACAAATATGCACGTTAATTACGTTTTTGGAAGTTGGCTTAGTGCAAATGCTAATGCAAGGCAGCTTTTAAGATGCTGCATACCCATGATAGCACTCACACAAATACACACATACACACACACACACACACACACACCCACATGCACGCACAACAATGTACCAACCTTAAAGGGGGTGGGAGTGAAGGGGTTTGTAGGGGAGAGACTAAGGAACAGACCACTGAGAGTCTCTGCGTCCTACGATCATGAGGGGAAACACATATATAGTCCTATACACATTACCATCAAAACAGCAATCCCCCCTAAAAAAACCTTAAAAGCTCTTTCATTCTTTTTGGAATATCATGTAGGTGTTACTGACTCATCATTCTATATATAATATAGTGTATACATAACATTCTCTATACACTACAGCCATACACAGATAAACATTAGTAACTGTGTGGGAACAAAAACTGAGAAAAATGATTTCACATTTTGTCATCTGTTCTAAACGAATCTAAATGCTATACATTTCAGTGAATATAATTTTCCATACTTCTTCTACTTCCATATACTATACTATCATTATCTCAAGGCTGGAGTAAATTTGTACGCCACCATTTTATCTCAGAACAGCAATGTGAAGTTCAGAGTATCTAGTAGATCAGTGTTACCTTGCTGCTGTGTGAGTTGGACTGTGGTGCTGGAGTTAGTCTCTCATGGTTGGTAAGCATAGGAGACTGTGGGCGAAAATCAAGATGTAGAGTAGGCAGATGAATGTCTATATGGCTGTGAGACAGAGATGCTTCAAATAGTGCATCCAATATGTTTTGTTATATGACACTAAATATTCAGTCAAAGATACTCTTGTTCAATAGGCTTTGTTTCCAGAGGACATCATACTGTGATGCTACAAACTCCCACATGCAAGATTTCTGACACTTCTGGAGTGAGAATATAGACTGCACCTTTGCATTTGCAGAGTATTTAAATTCAGTGCGAAGGAATCTGGAGCCTCAAGAGACTCAAATGGTACACAATGTAACATATGCATACTTGCATATATATATTGCACAGTGGATTCTAAGTCAGGAAAAAATAGCTATTTTTTTGGCTGTTTTCTGAAATGCAGTACCTGAGATCTCTGTTGTCCGGACTGGACCAGGAAGATGACAGAGTCTCCAGCCCTGCGGATGGCCTCCACCGCCTGCTCATGGCTGGCATCTCTTAGGTCCACACCACACACCTTGGACAAATCAACACACCCAATAGATACTGGACAAAAAGACAATTTTCTCCACTCTTTCAACTAATGTAGGAGATTGTCCTATCGT